ATGAAGCCGGGAGCCAGAATATGACGTCAGTCCGGCTCCCGGCATCACTAAGCGCTGCTTACTCAGCCTGTGCGCCCCCTGCCTGCCTGCCCAGCAGCCACACTGGACTGCTGGTAAGAAATCCACTCCAGCTTTCCCAGGGAGGCTGGGTGGATTTAAAATAAATGTAAAAAATATTAGTTTGTGAGTGTTAGTGGAAATGTCTGTGTGTGTGTCTGTGAGTGTTTATTTTGAAGTGAATGTGTGTGTGTGTGTGTGTCTGTAAGTGTGTAATTGTGTGTGTCTGTAAGTGAATGTGTGTGTGTCTGTGAGTGTATATGTGTCAGTCAGTGAGTGTGTATGTGTCAGTCAGTGAGTGTGTATGTGTCAGTCAGTGAGTGTGTATGTGTGTCAGTGAGTGTGTATGTGTCAGTCAGTGAGTGTGTATGTGTCGTCAGTGAGTGTGTATGTGTCGTCAGTGAGTGTGTGTCGGTCAGTGAGTGTGTAGGTCAGTGAGTGTGTATGTGTCGGTCAGTGAGTGTGTGTCGGTCAGTGAGTGTGTGTCAGTCAGTGTGTATGTGTCGGTCAGTGGAGTCGTGCATCTTTCGGTGAGTGCTTGCGTCTGTCAGTGAGAGTGTGCATCTGTCAGTGTGTGTCCAAGTAATAGTGTATGTGTGTATGTCATTGTTTGTCAGTGTATATGAGAGTGTGTGTCTGTCAGTGAGTGTGCGTCTGTCAGTGAGTGAGCGTCTGTCAGTCAAAGTGCGGCCTTGACAGGAAGGGGTGGGGAAATTTAAACTCGGTTACAGGCATGTACACACACACTCAGTTAAAGGCAGTCACACATACAGGCACAGGCACAAACAATGGCACAGCTACAGCGACACACACAGACAGACAGTCACATAGGCAGTCACACACACAGACAGACACACAGTAACACACACATAGACAGTTATACACACACAGGTAGGCAGTCACACAGATAGAAAGTCACACACACAGGCAGGCAGTCACACACACAGGCAGGCAGTCACACACAGACAGATAGTTACAGACAGACACACACAGGCAGGCAGGCAGTCACATACAGGCAGTCACACACACAGACAGACAGTCACACACACAGACAGTCACACAGACAGACAGTCTCACACACACAGGCAGTCACACACACGGGCAGTCACACAGACAGACAGTCACACACACAGGCAGTCACATACATGGGCAGTCACACAGACAGACAGTCACACACACAGACAGTCACACACAGAGACAGTCACACACACACACACAGAGACAGACAGTCACACACACACACACAAGGACAGGCAGTCACACAGACAGTCACACACACACACACACACAGACATTCACACGCACACAGGCAGGCAGTCACACAGACAGTCACACACACACACAGACAGTCACACAAACAGGCAAACAGTCACACACACACACTTACCTCTTTCCAGTGGATGCAGTTGGCTGATGGGGAAGCATCTTTCCCTCTTCCTGTACAGCAGGGGCTTCGGGAGGTATTAGCCCGTCTCCGCCTCTCGATAAGCCCCGCCTCCGCCGCTCGGTAAACCCCGCCCCCTCTGCCGCGATTTTTTTTTTTTTTAAATAGACCCGGGGGGAGAATAATTAATCCTCCAGCCAGGTACCTCTTTTAGCTCCCCTGCACTCCGGCCATGAGTGAGCTGTGTCGGCCACAGGGCGCCCCCTGTTCCATGGCGCCCTGTGCGGTCGCACAGCTCGCACACCCCTAAGGCCGGCCCTGGATTCAGTTCCTGGGTAACTTGAGGATATTCACAGAATTATCCCTAAGCCACTCTTACGTTGTCTTGGCTGTGTGCTGAGGGTCAATGTCCTCTTGGAAAATGAACATTCAGCCCAGTCTGAAGTCCTGTGCACTCAGTAGCAGGTTTTAATTAAGGATACGTTCTGCTTTACCTCAAACCAGAATGTTTTTTCAGTCAGTCTACTGAAACCTCTCTCCCCCCCAAAGCATGATGCCGCCACCATGCTTTACCTATGGGGTGGTGTGGCAAAGGTGGTAAGCAGTACTCGGTTTCTTCCAGACATGAAGAAATACAGGTACTGTATTGAAGTACATGAAGACTTTGAATTGAAGTCAAACAGTTTAATTTGTGATTCATTAAACTAGAGAAACTTATTTCTCACAATCGGAGTCCTTTAGGTGCTTTTTGCCAACTTTTAAAAAAGAATGACTTCTATCAGGCCAGTCTGCCATGGCCACATCAGTAAAGTGTTGCAGTGATAGTTGTCTTTCCACAAGTTTCTCCATCTCCACGCCTGTTCTTTGAAGCACACCTATAGCTTACCTCCCAACTCCGGCGTCCTGCGAAAATAGAGGATGGTTCAGTGACAAGATTTGCATCACTGGTTTCTCCTATAGGGAGCAGTCCTGTCCAGAAAAGGGGTGGGTCCACCTGGTAGAATTGACAGGCCAAATTGGCATGAATGCACATCAGCCTGCCTGCCAATCAAGCAGGCTGGCCCACTGAGGGCAATTTATGCAGTGAACACTGTTTCAGTGCTTTTTAAAGTTTTCTAGAGCCTTTAACATAGCATGAGAGCTTCTAATAATGAGCTCACATTATGCTTGTTGGGGACACCAGGGGAAAAGCAGGATACCAGGGAACATATTTGGTACTGCGGGACAGGACCCAAAAATTTAGATTGTCCTGCTTCAATGCATTGGGAGTTCTGCTATCGGGTTACAGGTTACCTCTCTAACCAAGGTCCTTCTTCCCAAATACTCAGCTTGGCTAGGTTGCCAGTCCTAAGATGATGTTATATTAACCTACTTCTATTTTAGCATTATGGATCCTTCAATTCAGACAAAATTTGATTGTAGCCATCTCCAGATCTGTGTCTGAACATAAGTCTGTTTTTTTGAGCTTATCTCATGGCTTAATTTTTGCCCTGATATGCATTTACAGCTGTGAGACCTTATATAGACTGGTGCATGCAGAGGTGTAACTAGAAACCACAGGGCCCCGGTGCAAAAATTGCCTTGGTCCCCCCCGCATACGTCTACCCCCCGCCACTCCCCCATATGTCTATCCTCCCTCTCCAATATGTTCCCCCTCACACATGCATACAAACAGATACACATGCTGAAACACACACACATACATACAAACACACACACATACAGACACACACAGACACAAATACATTCACACAGACATACAGACACACAAACACACACATACATACAGACACATACATTCAAACACACACAGACACATACATACAGACACACAGACAGACACATACATACACTCAAATACACATACATACCGGACTTTACATAGGACACGAGGACATGAGTTTAGACTCTATTCACAAACCGGACTTTACATAGGGCACGAGGACATGAGTTTAGACTGGAAGAAAGAAGATTTCGTCTAAGGCAAAGGAGAGGTTTTTTTACTGTAAGAACAATCAGGATGTGGAATTCTCTGCCTGAGGAAGTGGTTTTATCAGAGTCCATACAGATGTTCAAACAGCTACTAGATGCATACTTGCAAAAACAGAATATTCAAGGATATAATCTTTCAATGTAGGGTAATAACTGCTTGATCCAAGGATAAATCTGACTGCCATTCTGGGGTCAAGAAGGAATTTTTTTCCTAGCTTGTTGCAAAATTGTGCTTCCAACTGGGTTTTTTTGCCTTCTTTTGTGTTAAATATGTTTATTGGTTCCATAACATATTCCAATGCAAACATACTATTTTTAATGCGAGTTAGTGCCTGCGCAGAGGCCTAATTATCTGTGTATGAATGGATTCACAAGTTGTTGCCTGCGCAGAGGCTCTTCCTTCATAACAGTTGTTGTATAGCATTCAATATAGTATCATAGTCAAGCATGGTCTCTCTAGGTGCCAGTAGGCAGTAATAAGACAAGTGAGTAAATTAAGGCTGATAAATTAAGAATTAACGTTAATAAACAGAACAATATGAAAGCAATATCTTTTGCAATCTGTATATTATAAACAGCGTAGTTAACACGTTATAGCATGCCGTTGTCCTTTGGCTAAATTAAGACTTAGTTGTTTGTCCTGTAACAGCGCTTAAACAGTTACGGTGCAGGCTTGCAACAATAAAAAAGGTGCAACAGTTAAGAATTGGCGTCCGAGTACATATTAGTAGAGGAGCAGGCTGGTAGTAACCCTTTGGGTGTCGCCCTAGAGTCGCCTAAGTATGATGTGCATTAAAGAAGTTACATTCTGAGAGTCGGGAGCTAAATGTGCCATCTAATCTTTGTGTGCGACTCCGTATGTGGTCTGGGCTTTAGAATGCAGTTGGTCAGGGTCTATTTGCGTGTTGATTTAACCAGGCAGTCACATTTAGCATTATGTAGTATAGACATGTGTGCCTACAGTATCTCCTGGCTTGTAGGTAGGCACAGGCCCTAACGCTCGCGGTCAGCTGCCGTGAGGGTAATATAGAACGTATCTACTTTATTAAAGATTTATATGCGGAGACCATTGGCTCGCTTCTAATGCCCGCTGAGACCGAATATCCTTACATACTTATTCAGTTGTGGGCGTAGTTGTGTACATATGTGTAGTCGTTATATTACGTATCAGTCTGGTACGTGCGGTACCTATTGGTGTAATGTGTATGCTGTATCGTGAAGCTAGGGTCTTGGGCATGGGTCTGGGTATCATATCCTGTTACATTTCAGTTATTGAACAAGCCCTAATAAGCAGCGTTAGACTTATGCCCTCCGGGGCTCTTTAGCATGGGGTGTCGTCCTGTGTGGCAGTCCCATGGCTCCCATGCCTCCGCTACAGCACAGTCCCAGGGTCGTCGAACCTCCTTCCATCTTCTCCCCACCAACTCCGGTCCGCTGGCTGTGTCCTCCACCGTGCCGTGGGCACTCAAGGGCTGAGGCTGACCACTCGACCCCACCACCAAAGTCTGTGACCCGCCCGCCCCCTGTACCTTCCCAACACCGTGTTGGTCCACATAGAGTGCGTTCCCCCAAGTCTCTCCCGCTGTCAGCCTCACTCTTGGGGCCGGTACACGTACCCCACGGCCACCGGTCCGCCGGAAGGGTAGCACACTCCTGCCCCACAGGGCTCGCGGCAGCGGGGACATAGCTCTCCGGGGACCTCTCTACCCAGAGGCCGGGGTACTCACTGCTCCAGCGGGTGCCTGGTCAGCGCGGAGGTTCTGTCCGGCGTCCACTTCGTCTGTTCTTGTGCGAGCAGCCCACGCCAGGTCCCCCCAATGAGTGCGTTATTCCGCTCCACCTTCTGGGTCCCCACCAGCTCACATTTTCCTTCTGTCCTGGTGCACCCTTTTCCACTGTGCCTGCCCCCCTCGTTTCTGTGTTCCGTTTTTCTGGCTGGACATTTTCTGCTGGCTTGCTGCTGCACATGCAGCTTTTGCCAGTGTAGGCGGCCAGCGCACACCCCACGTGGGAATTCCCACCGTGGCATGGGTCACCGCCATGCGGCCGGGATAACCCCCACCGGCCGGGGGGGGGGCAGGGCCGTGCCCCGGGCCGGGTGTGCAAAGGGAACCATCTGTGCGGCGTCTCTCCTGCTTAAATGTGTCGGGGCTGCGCCTCTCTGTGGCGTCCCGCCGCGTGTCGTTGTCTCGGCCGGATGCTCTGCCGCATGTAGGCCGGGCTCGCCCTCCATTGCCCGTCCAGCTTGTGGTGTACTTCTTGCCGGCATCCGAGGTGCGCTAGGGTCGTTCCCTGTTAGTTGTTGTCGGGATAGCCGACTTCTTAGCAGTCATTTGTGCCTTTTGTGCCTTTTTGCTCAGGGTAATGCTGGAGCCCATGTATAATGCGTCTGTTCGGCCCGGCGGCCCCTTTTTGCCTTCTTTTGGATCAACAGCAAAAAACAAATGTGAGGTAGGCTGAACTTGATGGACGCAAGTCTCTTTTCAGCTATGTAACTATGTAACTATGACACATACATACATACATACAAACACACACACATACATACACACACACATACAGAGAAACATTCATACAGACACACATACATACAAACACAAACATATACAGACACATATACAAAATGTTTTAGTCACCCTCCTGTTTCCTACCTTTTAGAGGATGACTTTCCCTGGTGTCCAGTGGTGGCTGAGGCTGATGATAGTCAGAATTCCCACTCTGACTCCCTCCTTTCCTCCCTCCCGTGCGGCTCCCGGTGTAAGCTGGGAAGAGTGACCAGACAGTCACTTCCTCCCAGCTCTGATGTCATCACAGGGAGCCTGGTCACACTGTTAAAGCGCAGCAGCGCTGACCGGGCCCCCTGGTAATTTGCCATCGGGTGGCCCTAACAGTATGGGCCACCCGATGGGCCCCTTCAATGCGACCCCGGCGGTTATACCGTGCAGGCTGGGGCCACGTTACTTAGCTGGCGGGCACCACAGTTGCAGGGGTCCGCAGGGCAGCTGGACCCCTGGAGTGGTGTGCCCGGTCGCAGCTGCGACTCCTGCGACCGCGGTAGTTTCGCCAATGGGTGCGTGCCTTTCCATATCATGTCCAATCAATTGAATTTACTACAAGTGGACTTTAATCAAAGTGTAGAAACAGCTCAGAGATGATCCAGAGAAATGGAAGCATCTGAGCTAAATTTTGAATGTCACAGCAAATGTAATATTTCAGTCGTTATGAGTGTAGATTGATGTGAAAGAATTTGAAACAATTGTTGCATGAGGCAACAATATACAAATATGAGAAAAGATGAAGGGATTTGAATAATTTCTAAATACATAGCATATTTTATTTTTTATTTTTTACATCCTGCTTTCTTTATCTGTGATATAAAGTCTGCCTCATTGCTCTTTACAGCAATAATTTCCTCAACACTTAAAGCAATTGTATTTACAATCCAAGCCAGCCTGTATTACACTGATTTTGCCAGGTTAGTGAAGCTGTGCAACCATTGTGCAAGTCAGTACTATTATATGGGAGATCAATTGTAGATTATGCTAGCTTTAGTGTACCTATAATCTTAATTTTATTAATGACAGGAGGCGAGTATTTGCTTAAGTCTCTCTTTACTAGAACTCCATAGCAGCACAGAAAAACAACCGATCAGAAAAAAGTTAGGTACTATAAAACTCCCCTCCCCATACATCATTTCCTCTTTCAAGCTGCGACAAAAACAGAATAAAAGGCAGAAAACATAATATGAAAAAAAAGCACGAAGTCATAGATACAATGAATACAACAATGTCCACCATGCGAGAAGAACTGCCAAACCAGATAGCATTGATGGCCTGTAAACTGAAATGAGAGAAAAACAGAATTGAACAGGTTGATTATCCAATGAAATGTACTCTGAATAAACATGTAGGTACCCAATGTAGCAACCAAAAGTACCTTAATATGTAGATATCCCAACCCTACTTATGAAAAAACAGACATAAGAACAGGTGACAGGTAACAGAGACAACAAGCAGAGTTGCATACTGACCTGATTAATCCAAACTGTTAAAATTAAACAAGGGAGGGAAAAGAACGGGTGGGAAATACTCGCCTCCTGTCATTAATAAAATTAAGACTATAGGTACATTAAAGCTAGCGTAATCTACAATTTTATAACATGACAGGAGGCTTCGTATTTGCTGTTTTAACGCTCAGTCAACAAATCCAACGCTGGTACCTATTCCAGGAGCTATCCGAGCAATCCTAAATGGACTTTCCAAATGCGATAAATGACAGTAGATGGATCGATGAAGATGCCAGCTGACGAAGCATCCCAAATACGGAAAAAAACACCATCCGCTGATAGATCCACTGTACGTGGGGTTGCAACCTGTTTCCTACCAGCCGGTCCATGAGCTGCCAAGCTGACCTATTAGCCATTTCCATGTAGTTATAAAATGTCAAAGGCCATTTGCGGACTTAGGGCCGCGAGAAGACATTGCCACCATGTCTCAACTCTTGATGTGTAAGGTGGCTTCTCCGATCGTGCCAGGGTAGATCTCTAATCTCAAGGAGTCCACCACCAATTCCGTAATAGAACCGAGTAGGATCTTTTGTTCCCTCATGGCCTACCCGGTGAGATGTCTCATCCGAGAATACATTTATTATGCAGGCAAGAGTGGTCAAACTAGCCCTATCCTAAGTGATTCCAATATTCCAAATGTACTGTGAAATCCTCGGCTGCGGTAGAGAAAGGACTCCAAAAAGGACGTTCAATCAGGGTCCCAAACTGAACTTATGTGGTGGAACCGTGGTCGACTATTCTGGGAATAGTGGGTCCTGGAAATATTCAAAGGGATGGGAAATGTAAACTGGAGTTGAGATTCCCATCCAGATGTCATCGTCTAAGAGTGATAAGATGTATGGATCCCATGGTGATTGGGACCTGTATAACAACAAAGAGTGAAATAGTCCGATTACCCATCGTACGATCCTGTTCTATGCCCGACCTGTCAAAATTTGTGTATGGATTCCTGGTCTACACGCCACCTACAAGATAGGGTATAATATAGTGAGACCCTTAGGTCCCTGTACCCCTGACTGTCCAGGCACGTATCTCCCAGAGTAGGCCCTAGGTCAAGGGGCCCAGGAATCTGCATTGATAATCGAAGTCAAAGTCTCCCTATAGAGGGATACCTCCCTTCTTAGCTTGGAGTCCCGCGAACACATACGCAGGCAAGGCGTAAAGTCCCTTCGCTCATGACAGGTGACTCCAGAGAGCAGATATAGCGGTCCGAATCATGTGTTGTCCCGTTTGAGAATGTCGGCAGCCCTATCTGAGTCTGCTACACATCCTGAGCCGTACTCCAGCGGTAGGTTGCGACTTGACTCTGACATCCATGTAGGAGTCGGGGCACACCAGGTTCCTCCACAGAGTCTTGTAGGTCTCCTTGATGGTAGTTGAAAAAGTGGGTTAGCGCGAACCCAAACCAAGACGGCTCCCGTGAGGGATATAGAGTATAGACGGAGGGCCTTCCATCTCCGAACCATGTTCTCCAGGTATGTGCTCAGAGGAGTAGTGGCATTCCTGCCATCTTATCCCAAGATTGTAATGACCAGGGAACTCAAGACAACCGGGGTTTCCGGTCTTACCATGCAATCCATGTGTACGGTGTACCTGCAGACCGGGTAGTCGGCCTTCCCTAGTCTTGTTACCCGAGCAAGGCAGTGCCCGTTTACTCCATGAAGGTCTCCGTATCTCATGTCATCTTGATATGGGAAAAACTGTCTGTGCAGTTTGTTCGCAATGGTCCGGATATCCAAAACAGAATGCAATTGTCTGTTTTATATAGCGCAGAATATACCAAAACCTGCACTCTTGTAATACCTGAGGCTCATCCGTTAGCTGTACCGTCTCCAGGAGTGTGTGTAAATAAGCGGGAGTCTCCCCCCGTATACCTCTGTGAGTATTTCTCGCGTGTGGTACAGTGGTCTGGATCCAGTAGATCCATTACAGGAGATAAAATAGAGGGATCCAGTCTAAATATGTATGTCCTGCATGATCAGGCAGCCCTCTATAATAAAATCTATCTGCATCCCTCTATGCAGTCATCGATGTCCTGTACAGGTACAAGCCTGTGTGATGAAAAAATTGGACGGCACCGTAGAGCATTGAGTGTATGAGAGAGCCGAGCTCTCTCAGTATCGGGCTGAAGTTGAGGGAGGGCCGCGCCCTCTAATAACAAATCAGTGTCCGGTTCTGTATATGAGAGGGGTTCGCTCTCTGTTCCTGAAAATAAAATATAATTCCTTAGAGACTTAGGGTGACCAACAGCAGGGGTACACCAATTACTAATATCAGCATAAGACTGAGGTCCTTAGGTGGGTCTCTCTCCGACCATGAGACCTCTCTCTGAATTGCTCACCTGAGAAGGAATCAACTGGTAGTAAACCAGCCCGATGGCAGATGGGTAGTATACAACCTTGGGCCATGTCCATCCTTAATAACAGAAAGGGATGGTGCGAAAATGCAACCTTTGGAAACAATGATGGAAACTACCAACTGACCGCCCGGATCACGTGCCCGGATCACGTACCTGGACACCCACCTATCTCCATGTCACTAGTGGGTACTGGGCTTTCCTCAGTGATATTCCCCCAGGCCTGCGGCCAAAAGGCACTGATAGAGCAGGCCCGTCAGAAGGGTACAGGCCTAGCAGGCCAAACGAATGGGCACAGACATAGCTGGCCAATCAAATAGGCACAGACGTAGCAGGCCAGTCAATGGGGCACAGACATAGCAGGTCAATCAATGGGGCACAGACATAGCAGACCAATCAATGGGGCACAGACATAGCAGGCCAATGAATGGGGCACAGACATAGCAGGCCCATGATAGCGTTCCGACAGCCATAGGGCCCATCTGTGTATGTAGAGTCCCCTATATATATTTATATATGTGTGTAATGAAACAGGGAAACCTTGGGTTAAATAATTTCAATATGTAAAACCCACTAGCAGGGTAGTAATGTGATTATAACAGTATTTTTTACATAATACCTCTGGATTAAGTTGCTAGTATGTCTCCAGTCTAATATCACAGATGTTACAGCTACTAGTGATGAATGTGCTATAGCACTATACACAGTGGTGTATCCTGGTTTTGTGCTGCCCTAGGCAGGACAAAACTCAGACGCCCCCTTGCCCCCGCCTTCTAAATACACACACACACATTCACTGACAGATACGCATACACACGCCAACAGACACACACACACACACTAACAGACATACAGACACACACACACTAACAGACACACACACACACAGTCAGACACACACATACACACAGTCAGACACACACACACACAGTCAGACACACACACACACTAACAGACACACAGACACACACACACTAACAGACACACAGTCAGACACACACACTAACAGACACACACACACAGTCAGACACACACATACACACAGTCAGACACACACATACTCACTAACAGACACAAACTGTCAGACACACACACACACTAACAGACACACACACTGACAGACACACACACTAACAGACACACACACACACACACTGACAGACACACACATACACTCTAACAGACACACACTAACAGACACACACTAACTCACTAGCAGACACACACTAGCAGACACACTAACAAACACACACACATTAACAGAGACACACACACACTCACATTAACACATTTTTTTTTTTAATTTACCCCCCCCCTTACCTTTGGGAATGCTGGGGGGGGGTGTCTCTATCTCCCTGGTGGTCCAGTGGCTGCGGGCGGCGCTGGGCTGGGCTGGCGGCTGGCGAGGGAGCTTTTCCTCTGCGCTGTCCGCTCAGCTCCCTTGCGCGCCGCAGAGTGAGGCTGGGAGCCGGAAGATGACGTCATATTCCGGCTCCCAGCCTCACTCTGCAGCGCGCGAGGGAGCTGAGCGGACAGCTCAGAGGAAGAGCTCCCTCGCCAGCTGCCCGCCCGCTCGGCATGTCTGTTACCCGCAAGGCTAACAAGGCATTTGACCTGGGAATTTGGGGGCGACGTTTTTTGCCGCCCCTGAAAAATGCCGCCCAAGGCAAATGCCTTGTTTGCCTCGCGGCTAAAACGCCCCTGACTATACAGGGAACTGGCAGACTTTAATGTTTGGCCAAAGACAGAAATCCAAACTGCAGGCACCTCAGAGCAGTACAGGGTGTACTGCCTAAAGCTTATTCTCCAGCCCAGCAAAATATTTATTTATTGCCGTCCAATAAATATAAATATATAAATCTGGCATCATCTTGGGTTATAGATTAACCCTGAGCAGGGTGGAGGGGGCCTCATCTGATGTAAAAAACTCCGGCCGTGATTGGAATCCGGCCTTGATTGACAGAGGGGAGGAAAGCCCCTCAAACAGACCTCCAACCAGTTAGGAACAGACGGGGGAGGGGCCGCAAGCGGTCGCCCTCTCCCCCTGCCCGGTCGAACACACGCGGTCCTCGGGCGGAGGCGGCCGCTGCGAAGCGGTTATGTGGGAAAGGAGATCCAGCCGCCTCGTGCACGCTCAAGAGCTTTCCTACGACCGGAAAAAACACACGGGACCGCCGGAGATGAACTCAGTGGCCCCGTAGCTCCTGAAGCCTCCTGAAGCCCCCAAGTGGCGCACACAGACACCACCAGAAAAAGGACAAGGCGGAACAAAAAATATAACAACGGGCATACCCAAACTTGGGAGACGGACAGGGGGGACAAGGCCAAGGGGATAGAGGACAGGAGGACCCCAAAGACCCCCAGAAATCCAAACTAAATAGGTATATAACAGTGATAGTCTGAAGTTACAAGTAAAAATAAAGTCCCACAGGGGTTATAATAAAACTGCATGTGTAAGGAAAATTTACACAAGGACCAAGGCAATACTGCATATAAAATGAATCCCACAAGGGCAAAATAAAATATTCTGAAAAGATATTCAATATATAAGCATAAAAATCCCACAAGGGAAAATAAAATATTGAATATGGAAGAAAGAAAATCCTACAAGGAGTATAACAATATTGCATTATAAAAATAAAATCCTACAAGGATTATAACAATACTGCATTATAAGAATAAAAACCCACAAGTATATAACATACTGCATTATAAGAATAAAAACCCACAAGGATTTAACAATACTGCATTATAAGAATAGAATCCCACAAGGATATAACAATACTGCATTTATAAAAATAAAATCCCACAAGGTTATAACAATACTGCATTGTAAGAATAAAATCCCACAAGGACTATAACAATACTACATTTATAAGACTAAAATACTGAGTATATAAGCAATAAAATCCCAAAGCCACCAACTAGAAGCAGGAGGCAGTGGTACTCTGACCAGTACTGATGTGGAGCAGCAAAGAAAGAGGTAATGATGCCTGGGGAGGGGAGTTTTATAGTACCTAACTTTTTTTTGATTGGTTGTTTTTCTGTGCTGCTGTGGAGTTCTAGTAAAGAGAGACTTAAGCAAATACGAAGCCTCCTGTCATGTTATAAAATTGCAAAGACACAGGTCTATGGAATTTCACGGCTATCCATTAAAGAGTTTTCGGTATTTAAAGAAAATTTCAAATTGAAGAAATAAAGGGAACAACTCCCAATAATTCTCACTTAATTCTGGCCTCTGACATTGTCACTTTCTTGCAGCCAGGCTGTGGTTGGGGTAATTGTTATCTTATGAGCACTGTTTATTTATATCTTGTGACGTTTTTTATCTTGGTGACT